TGACCCCCAATATTTTTCTTTTTTCCCAAATTTTTTTTTTTTTTTTTTTTTTTTTTTTTTTTTTTTTTACGCCAAACACGCGCAGAGCCCTTCTGAGGGCCGCTCACCCGCGCCGTTTCGGGAGCTGTTTTTAACTCTGCAAGTTTCGCTCGGGATCTCCTCAGCCCGCCCTCCCTTCTTGTTTGGTTTTGTTGTGTGGTTTTTTTTCCTCCCCACTCTCATTTCTGTTTTCTTGCCGGTGTTGAGGCGCTTCATCGCAATCTGAGGTTCCTTCTCCTTCAGTCTCTGTCGGAGCTCCAGGTTGAGGAAGGCTTGCTCGGCCACGGAGGTTGTGCCAAGCCCTGTGGAGTTGGGGTTTCCCAAATAAGGCAGGCAAGCGGCGCGATGTCCCCTTTGAAATCCATCTAGGTAGCCCTGGCGCAGGCTCCTGGGGAGCAGTGGGATACACTGGAGTTAAAGCTGAGTAGGCCTTTTAAGGAGTCGGTAGCACAAAAGAGGATGATGAATGATCCTCCTTTTAGGAAGGAGCTGGAGTGGGTAAGCTGGTAATTACAGTTCATAAACTCTTCCCCGCTGCCTTCCCTGCGATGAGCGGAGTGGAGCTGAGCAGCTACTTCTCGCTTTGGTACAAACGTTGGAGCAATCAAACTAGGAGTTTTCTTTTTGAAACCAAAGAAACTCCCAGGAGGTAACTTAAAAACTCAAGCAAAGCTCTTTGTGCTCTCTCCTGAGTGACAGGAGGCTAAAAATTAATGTGTCTTCCCAGTATGGTCTTGGGGGGTGGGGGGGGAAGCCTCACTTAGATAACAGGAAGAAAAAAATCTGACCTTTGAAACATCAAAGTTGGCATCTAGGTTTGCTGTAATGAGCCATACGTCTCTGCTAAGATCGAAGCAAAATCACTGTTCTGAAAAGGCATGGTTACAAGCAGTAGAATATGGAGGTCAGCGTACACACAGTAGAAAACACTATTAAATTGTCAGCTGCAAACAGCAAAGATGGATGCGTTTTACTTTTGAGAGCAGGTAGTTAAGGCAGCACAGCTATCTGCTTGCAGGAATTTAGGTGAAGACCGTAACTTTGCAGAACTGCAAGGTGAGGTAAAGTTTGGAACTGCTGAATCAAACTGAACTCCTTTAGTGCTGCTAATATTATTTTTGGTTTAAATGACAAAGTCCTTGCAGCATGAATGCAGTTTGCTCATTTATGAGCTGTCTTGGTTTACAAGCCTTTTGGAGCACATCTAGACGTGTGCGTATCAGCATGAGAAGGAACAAACTATGCCAGCGTAAAGGGTCTCTGTAACTCTGTAACTGTCCACGGCATAGATCATAATAACAGAAGAATTAGATCAAATTGCATGCCAAACTCAAACAGTTACATAGCGTTTTAAAGAAGCAAAAAGTGAATGGGTGTAGTGACTTGATAAATTGCGGAGAAGGATTTTCCAGGATTTGCTGGTAAATGGAAAAAGAACAAGAATTACAGATCACATTTGAGGAACTTGCCTTTCTGGCAGATGGTGGTAGTAAAGTCAGGATATGGTAGAAAGTCTAGGAGGGGGAACCAGGCTGAAGCTGCTTGTTTTGTTGTTGTGGAGTTTGTTTTTTGTAGGCATGCCAATTCTTTCCTTAAAGACAATTTCTGTTCTTATCACTTTCCTCTTTTACTTGATAAATTAAAACAAAATACACGTATTTTTATTTGACAGTTCCACTGTGCATTCTGCTTAGTAAGATGCTGTGAAGCAAATGGGAGTTCTGAACAAGCAGAAAAGATAATACAGCAGGGTTCTTCTAGTAAGGGAGGTCAAAATATAGAGTGGCTGAGGTGACACAATGTTTTGGATGAAGTGGTTTTGGTATATTTTGATACTTTTTTTTCCAAACTGGATATAGCCCTCGCTGTAGTTGGTTGGTTTTGTTGCTTTAGCCGGGCAGCACAGAATAGATGGCAAAGGCACAAGGGAAGGCAGAGGTAGAGCATTTATTACAGCAGCTGCAGTCAGAGGTGCAGTGAGCCCCTGTCATGTTAAGGACACCACGTGTTCCACCAGATGCATTTGAACGTTGAAAGGTTTTGGCTGTAACCTCCCCTCAATAGTAGCCCTGGTGGCTTCTAGTAACCATGCAGAGGAATGAGTGAATTGAATAGATGTTTTATTTAGCATATCAAGAAAGGGAAAGGCTGCAAATGCCTCCACTATGAATAGCTTAACTAAAGAGCACCCACACTTTGAGACTCAGTTGTCATCCTGGACTTCTGTTGCAGTTTCTTCTGGAAAACAGTTTCTAGGCAGTTTCCCTCCCTTTCTGGACTTAATACTGCTCTTAGCAAAATGCTGCTATCACATTTGCTACAGTCCATTATGTTCAAGATAGTGATTTTTAAATGTATTTATTTTTCATTGTAATTCCCCTCTTTCTTCACCTCTAGAAGTCATATATTAGTGAGGAGAAGACTGGTACAAACGGTCCCTTTAGCAGATACATTGCAGTAAAGAAAAAAGTTGTGAAGGTCAATAGCATCTGTTGTCCTCTGAAATATTTGAGACAAAACTGTCCAATGAGACGGTCAAAAGGCTGCAAGATGTGTTCTGCACGTATACGCAGTTCCTATTGATTATGTTGGGGTGGAGTATAAGTGACATCAACTACGTGGATTATGCATCAGCCTTATGTGTGGAAACAGTTATTTATCCTCCTGGTTTTACTCACGAGTAGTGCTAATGAAATAAAAAACCAACTGGAACTGTAACATGAAACTTTAAACAATCTGAATGTCTTAAGTGACTTGGAAAATAGAAGCTTTGAAAGGGGTCAAAGGCAAACACAGAGATAGGATCCAGCATCTTCAGTCCTATACCCTAAGTAGCAAGTGACCATGTAATTTACTCAAAATGAGTTTATAACTGCTTGCTCAGCCTGTCCCCTTAGTGAGCTGGACCTCTTGCAGCTGCTCTCTTCCCAAGGCATCTTTGCAAGATTGAAGAACACAATTGTCCACTTCTGGCCAGGACTTGTTGTTTCATAATCTAATGTAGTTA